TATATATATATATATATATATATATATATATATATATATATATATATATTATGAATGGACAAAGTCCGACAATTATTTTAAGACATTTTTTATGTTTATAAATTGTCGGACGATGGAAGATTTGTAGTTTAAAAACAGTAAAATCGACCTTGTTAACCGAAATGCTCCTCTGTGGCTAAATCGGTAAAAGCACGCCAGGCTATATGACGGTTCCGTATAGGATACAGGTTCGATTCCTGTCGGAGGACGCATATTTTCTATGACAACTTCTCGTACATTCAGGTCGGTAGATTTTTTAATACTGTTTATTATAAACAGAGCCTTTACTTAAATATTTGTATCTATAAAAAATAATATGTGTGTGTGTATATATATATATGTGTGTGTTGTGTGTTTGTGTGTAGAGGATGTGGAAGTGATGAAAGTAAATGTCCATTAATATTGTGCAACGAAAAATGCTAAAAATGTAGGTTATATATATATATATATATATATATAAATTTAAGATTTCTGGCATACGTTTTGTCTTGGCGGTCAACTCATCGAGTTTTGTTTTCCCATGCTTAAGTTCTTAGTCTTTTTCATTTCACCATTTTTAATAATTTTTCTGTGGTTAAAGTGGATGATATTTAAAGATATTTAAAAGCAATAGCGATAAAAACCAAACACGTGGCAGAAATTTTAAAATTCATAATTTAGCACCGGTACATCCCGCGCATTTCCTCTCAACCGACATTTTTGTGTATATTTCCCTAGTCCTACATATACGCAAATCCATCGATAAGGATATTTTTAATCTGATGGAGTCTTTTAGTAGATGAAACATGTTACACAATTTTTTTCCAACTTGTCATTCATTTACACAGCGTTGTTCTGGTATATAAAATATATATTCTATTCATCTTTGACTGTCGTATATAGGTTTGTTTGTCAGGGTGTGAAAACGAGCAAATTTGATCTTTAGAAGTCATATTCTCAAACTCAGCTAAAGTCGATAGAGACAGATTGTGTCAAAAATATATCATTCGAAATATAAATATTTAAGTAACTATATAGTCTATGCAATTGAAACTAGACAGGCTTATTGTTGAACAAAATAATAATCCTTCTTCAAAATTCAAATGAGAAATTCAATGCTATGTTCATTTCAGGATTTTCACGTTTTCAATATGCTCACCTGTAAAAGGGCACACGTCAAGTCGACAGAAAAGCCGATGTCAGTCACGTTGCAGCATGTTATAAATATCTTCTTCTTCTTCTTCTTCTTCTTCTTCTTCTTCTTCTTCTTCTTCTTCTTCTTCTTCATGGCTCGCGAGAATTTCCTGTCCTTTGTAGCTCCTAATCATTTTTTTATTTCTTCTAAACACTGTACTGCCAACCATTAACTCAAACTCACTAAGCAGGCCTTGTTTTACTGTGGCCCCTTTTACCCTGGATCTGTCAGATCGCAAGATATCAAGTCAGATGAATATGGCGGACATTTAAATAACATATCGTCCGTATCCCCACCACCATCGGTTCGTCTCCCTAACAGATTCTCATTGACATAAACTGGCACAGTGAGATGGAGCCACGCCTTATTGAAAAGTGAAGTGTTCATGTCCATTTGAAATGATCGTATAAATTTGCCAGCACAGAAGCATAAAATATTAAACATTGAATTATGAGTTGTTTCTACACATACTGTTAAATTTGAAATAATAGTTATACCGATACAATATACAGTACCTAGCGTTGTTGGTTCTTTGCTATACAACGCATACAGGAAGTCATTACGGTTAAGGTCTCAATATACAGCTAAGTGGTGTGACAATTGTTTTGGCAAAGGTTATCGTATACAGTAGGCTATCTTCAGTTATCGGTAGGCCTAAGGTTTGGGCTATTGGTAGCCTGCTGTATGTTTGGGGTCGACTGATACGCTAGGTATAGACCAAACTCAAAATTTCGAGCTACAAATCTTGAGGCGACATATACGATCCATTTAAGATAAACTAAGAAATGGTAGTTTTTTTTATCTTTTTTTTGTGGGGGGGGATTCTATGGTGTTTCATATGTATGAAATAAACCTTCACCTGTTGCATTTATAATATCGCTTTGTATGAGTTGTATATTTGTTGTATGCAAGTATTTTTTTTTTAAGTTTAAGGAAACTATCACATACTAAATATCTTCTGGACATATTTTATTTTTGTCCTTCATCTTATGTTTTTAAAACTCAGGTTCATATGTCTTTCCGTTTTTATCCTTCATAAATCTAAATTTGCTTTCTCTTTTACTGGATGCTTTTACGATCGGCATCAATATAATATAACATTTTTTTTAATTCATCTTCCTTCACAGAGGACACTTTTTTTTAATCTACTGTGCGAATGTAGCGAATTTATGACGATTTATTTATTTTACACCCACCAGCCATTAAGACAACCCAGTTTTATTCCACTGATTCTTTTACATTTGCCAAAGATATTTTTTCTATATACCAGATAGCGTATTTTCCTTGGAGTTTTTCGTCTTGACATGGACAGTGTTCATCAGCGTTTGGCTATAAATTTTCAGGTTTCTCTGTCGACTTCAATACATTCCCGAACTAATCTGCAACATTCAATATGAGTAACTTTATTTTTGGTGTATGTAGATTAAAACTGCAAAGTTTGATTAGAGTATAAGACCACAGACTCACTACGATAGGTGTTACTGCTTCGGTTTTTATAGTAACTAGAATTTCGCAGAGCGGAGCTGACAGCTTCATACAAAACTGGTGCTTATTCAAAGTAACTTTAATTTTGAGTTTCATTATTTGTTTAGTGGGATATCAACACCTTATGGGTCATTTAATGCCAAAATATAATTTTCTTGGGGGCATTGGTAATTTCTTTTAACATGAATTTATTGCTGGTATTTTTTTATTATTTTTTTAAAATTTATTACTGGTATATTTTTTTTACTATGAAAATGAATTGCTAATATTTTCTCTATCAAAAATGTATATTCATACTTTCATAACGTTTTGACTCCAGTTTTGATGTTAACTATTTGCCCATAGCTGGGACCCTAACAGATGCTACCACCTCAGGCAAGAGTGAACGTGGGAACAACAGCAATTAAGATGTGGTTCCACGCTCCTCAAAAGCTCCAATCTCCCGATCAGAGGACTTTCTGTCGGATGTCGTCAATCGTCATACACAGGACGATCATTCACCTAGAAACTGTAATTATTGTCCGTTCAAATTATTAGGTTGGTGCAAAAATAATGACGTAATGATGTCGTTTTTTGACGTTAAAAAATACGTCCAAAAACGGCATTATTTCGTCATTATTTTTGCACCAACCGAATAGTAGCAACATGGATGTGTGTGTCTGTGTGTTTGTGTGTCTGTGTGCGCGTATGTTTTGTAAGAAACACAAATGTATCTGAGTTAATGTCTGCAACAGAGATCGGCTAATCACCTAACGCGGAAAAAGTCTAAGACATTATCAAACGTTATTGTATATTCACACTAAAATAAAAACAAAAATCAGTGAAGTATTTATTAAAAGAATCCATTTTAACTGAGTTATCAAAAATCACAATAGAATACCGGATTGGTTTAATAAAAAGTTTATTATCTTTTGGTACAGTGAAACATAATGCAAAATAGAAACTAGGGAAGAAAAATGATTAATCGTTACTGCTGCTACTTCTCCATCTGCTACTCCTCTTGATGTCGGAGATTTTTTTTTTGATTTTTTTTTACGTCCGACGGCCGAGTTCAAACTTGTAGGGAACTGCTCTCCCTCACGACACAAACTAACCAAAAAAACAAATGCATATTTTTACATCTACCTCTCCTGACATTCATATTCCTTTTATTCCATATCTTTCCTTTCTTTCATTTCGAGACAGATTGAAATTGAATCGGGATCGTTTTTCCTGTCTCAAAAATACAAAATTTGACATATGCCTCTTTTGCTTTAGGGCAAAATACCTAAAAGATAATCAGAAATTCTAATTTCTATTTTAACAAAAAATAACCATCTAAGAACGCTAGTGGTTAAAAACACGTTAAGTATCAAGGGAGGCAACTCATTCTTGCCGGGGTAATCCAACCAAGAAACAATACTTAGGTAATGATAAAATAATAATAAAAACAAGAGATATGCAGTGATATAATAATAATAATAATAATAATAATAATAATAATAATAATAATAATGATGGTGATGATGACATTGATGATGAAATAATAATAAAAATAATAATAATGGGCAATAGTAATAGCAATAATATTAATATTAATAATAAATAATAATAATAATAATAATATTAATAATAGGTCATAATAATAATAATAATAATAATAATAATAATATGATAACCTTAATAATACAGTGGAACTTCGGTTCTTCAACGTCTCACATGTCGAATAAATCGGTTTTCGAACAGAAAATTCGAGATGAAATTGCCTCGGTTAATGAACAAAATTTCGGTACTCGAATAACATTGTCGAACCAAGTCAACCCGAACAGAATAATTTCTGAGTTGACCGCCATGTTTTATACATTTGTGTGTTGTAGCGTGCTTTCCTTTTCTAATTTTATTGTACTGTCACTTTTTTTTCTTCTTTACATTGATTCCTATTGGAAAAATCGTTTCGGTATACGAAAATTTCGGTTTACTATGGGCCTTCAGGAACGAATTAAATTCGTGAACCGAGGTTCCAATGTATAATAATAATATTAATATTAATAATATAGTAACAACATTAATACTAGGATGTGTGGTGTCCGAATGTGAGAAAACTATATTATTTTGCGTAAACGTGCTTGAGTTAGTATTTGTTTCTAGGTATACCAGGCATCACCGAAGCCTACTCATATCATAATGCCGCAGACATCAGGGTATACCTAACGTTAATACTTTTATGCGAAAAGGCAGGTGCTGTTTGAGACAACCAATGACTCAGCTTCCAGAGACATTCAATTTTTGCACTCATTCTCCTACCTTTCTCTTATTTTTCGGCTTACGACCACATCATGTTAAAACACCGATTCCCGTACGATTATCGAAGTTAAGCAACGTCGGGCCTGGCCAATACTTAGATGGGTAACCGATTGGGAATACCAGGTTCCAATTTCGTTATATTCTTACGTAAATACCCTTGGAAAAGGTATGAATCTATCTATTCTGCCTAAGCAATAGTCGGACTTTCTTCGGTAAATAAGTTTCTCGAGGAAGTTCTTCGTCTTGAACGTCTATGGGAAATTCAACCTCATCCCATACCTCGTGGCTTAGGATCATATCAAGTTGAAACAACTGTTTCCATCCAGTGTTTCCCGTTGAAACGCCTGTTGAACGAAGTTAAGCAACGTCGATCCTGGTCAGTGCCTAGATAGGTGAACGCTTAGGAATACCAGGTGCTGTAAACGTGGTTGTTCTGGTGATGTGATAGTAGTTACTAGGAATTGGAGGTTGGAGAGCCGTGTTCCAATTCCAGTTGGGTTCGTTGTATTCACTTACGCGCAAATAATATTGACGAAGGAATGAATTCGTTTTTTATCCCCCAAATGTGTAACGATGTAAGACTTGTAAATCATTATTATCTGTAGGATAAAAAAAAAAACATTCTTACAATCTAAAATATTTTCTGGGTTTTTTATCACCTGCAAAGTGTTGATAAGTCGTAGATAAAGAATCAATCAGTATGTTAATCTTTCTATTGTTTCTTTTTTTCTCTTGATTACAATCAAATACTGTCAAAGGTCGGTTGACGTTTCTTGTAGAGTCAGCCGCCATCGAGTACAATGGAATAGAATGGTATACATACCTACGCACGCAGCTAGTGCTGTGACAACACGGCACAAGTGGATGGAGGGCTTTCCCAGACCAAAGCCAAAGGGTAAGATATTGTTACCCCGCCCTGCAAAAGAAACAACGGCCTCGTGATTGTGACCACTGTTGGATGGCATTAGCTCTAGTTTGCCCTGGAGAGGGATGTCTACCTCACCAAGACACACTACGAATGAATGAATTCCTCTCGGTCTTTTAACACAGCTATAGTGAGGACTACTCAAGAAGATACATCTCTACAGTGATGATTCTCGTATAAGCCCTCTACTCGTCGGTGTGTTTGCCCATAGTAACACATTTTGTCCTAATCATTCTAACCTATTTGATGGTTTAGTTAGAAATCCCGGTTTGGAAAGAAAAATCAGAAAAAAAGGGGAAATTGAATCTCTTTGGCTAGATGCGAAAGTGTTTCGTCACTATTCTCATGATGTAGTGGCCGAATCTTCTTGCTTGATAAATTGTCTGAACTTGTAATTGTTTTCGCCGTTTCTTTCTCTTGTTGTTCTTAATTTTATTAAAAGCATTGCCTCCCAAGCCCACTATTTGGTGAGGGCGGAGGATTGGCCGTTGATCCCTCCCTCTACCGGGTCGATGCTTGGACTTAAGGTAAGCCGTACATTCACTTGTTATCATGAGGAAGAAAGCGGACAAACACTTGCTGCCCTGTGTGAGTATAATTTCGCTCTACCGAAAACTCATTTTAAATTTCTTTTCTATTTTCTTTAATTCTTTATTTTTTTAATCTTTAAATTTTATTTTATTTAATTGTATTTTTTCTCCCCCTACTCGTTAGTGTGTTCTCGCACCTCTCGCCTTTGGGACTCCCTTCCCTATTCCAGTTTCCCTGAGAGCTATAATCTCCAACTATTCAAATGTAATGTCAATCGACATCTCCAGTTGCCTTGATCTATCCACTACCCTTCTCCTCATCCTTTCTTCTATCACTCCTATCTGATCTTGCTCCAAATTTTTCTGTAACCCCTTGCGTTCTAGTGGCTTTCCGCCTTGCTTGGGGTGAAACGCTTTAAAAAAATGGTCATATGTCTACCTAGACTAATGGCTGGTTTTGAATGGTTATTTTTGTTTAGCGGTACATCGAACTCTGTGGGTTATTTAATGACGAAATTGAAACGTTTTACACGCATTTTCTTTAGAAAATAATGGTTTTAGTGATACGAGTTCTACTAATTAACCCATAGCTGGAGGGAGAAGTGTTTGCTCTTTCCCAAGTGTATTTGCGTGTAAACCCAACTGGAATCGAAGTTTGCTCTTTAATGAACAATTCCGAGTCATTATGTATTACACCACTGGCATTTCCAAGCTTACAGCAACTGGTCTTCCACAGCGGTCACCCATCTAGTTATTGACCACGCTGGACGTTCGTTAATTTTCCATGATCGTAGGAGACTAAGGGGTTAAGCAGTATCAGCCGAGAATTGAGGTATGATTCGATGTATTATTCTGTTTCGTTCTTTTTTCACCTGTGGAGTCACGATGTTTTTAACTTGCCGCTGACGATAATGCAGAATACAAGTATATTCCTGACACTCACTTGCTACGGTGAAAAGCCGCTACCGCTAAAAAGACAGTGTCTCAACTTTTTAGCCCCAAACATCATTTACGAATCACTGTGTTTTAAAATTGTATTTCGTATCACCTGCCTGCAACATAAACCCTGTCATATATACATTCACATTTTATGAATTGGCAATGTTAATAGGAACCATTCGACCTTTATGGCCCGATCTGCCAGTGCTACTGAAGTTACGATTTCTTCATCCACTGATCATCAAGGGGAGATCAAAGTGTAGTATCTGTTCTCCACATTTTTAATGCTAATACCTTTTCCTTATGAAAAAAAAGAAGAAAAAATCGACATTCATTGACCGAACAGTCAGTGTCGGTTTTGATTTATAAAATGCGCTTTACATCCCATAATCAGCTCCCTGAATAGCAATATGGTTTCCGCTTTGCCCGTTCTACAGCTGATGTGCTAACGGCTATAAGTGAAATTGTTTACCAAGCACTTCAAAATAACATAGAAGTTCGTGCCGTGGCTTTAGCTATCTCCAAAGAGTTTGACAATGTTTGGCATACCGGCCTTCTTCGCAAGCTTCAGGGTTATGGAATTTCAGGTCGATTGTTCGACTTAATACAACCATTCCTGTCGAACCGTACAATGAAGGTCGTTCTCAACAGATTCTTCTCCAGCTCTTATTCCACGAACGCAGATGTTCCCCAAGGCTCTATGCTAGGCCCTACTCTGTTCCTTATCTTCATTAATGCTCTTCCTGATGTCATAGTAGGCATCTACGCGGACGACACTACAATTTACTCCTGCTTCAAAAACAAATCTAACAAAACTAACCTGGCCGTTCGTCTCGAAAAGGACCTCCAATTTGTTGTGAACTGGGTCAAAATTTGGCTGGTTAACTTTAACGCCTCAAAAACAAAACTGTTCTCTATTACTCACCACAGAGAACCATCCCTGCCCCCATTAAAATGTCACAACTCCACGAGAGCACCTCTTTGCGACTGCTCGGTCTCACATTGACTGCTGATCTGAGATAAAAAGAAAACATTGAGACAATAGCTTCGTTCACCGCAAAAAAAGGTGGGTCCCTGTGCCACATCAGGAATTTTTTCTCGCCGGAGTCAATCCTTCAAATCTAAAAATCAACCATTCCCCCTTGCACGGAGTATTGCTGCCATATATGGTCTGGAGCATCTTCTGGTTGTCTCAAAGTCCTTGATAAAATCCAAAGACGGATATGCAATGTAATTGGCTCTGATCTGGCATCTCGTCTGCAACAGCTCTCTCACAGACGTACCGTTGCCTCCCTCTGTCTTTTTTACAAATACTTTCACGGTAACTGCTCCGATGACCTGCTTTCGCTGGTTCCCAGACTTCATGAATTTAAGCGTTCAACTAGGCTGGCATCTCACTCACCGCTTTTCACTGACGAAACTGTTAAATGTAGCCGTGTCTTCTACTCCAATACCTTCATGTCTCACACTTCTCGCCTGTGGTACCCTCCCCCCCCAGTTCTTGTTTCACTAATAGCTATAATCTCCAACTATTCAAATGTAATACCAATCGACGTCTCCAGATGCCCTGATCTATCCCCTATCCTCTTCATCCTTTCCTCTCACTCCTCTTTGCTCTCACCCCAACTCTCTGTAACCTCTTGCGTGCTAGTGGCTTCCTACCTTGGTTGGGGTGAAACGATTAAAAAAAATTCTCGTAAAGCCTTTATTCGGGAACATTTTTCTCAAGGTCAGTAACTGTGGGCTTCTGACATAAGCCGTTATTCAAATTATCGTAGAATTGATTCCATCATTATTTACTCCTTAGTTACATGTGCAAGCCATTTTAACTGTTTCTGCTCAGTCCTCAACTAATCAGCTTTCTGATATGTGCTACATTACTTTACCTGTGATTCTGTAACTTCAATCCACTGGCTTTGAAATAGGATGGGTTGGGTTGCTTTGTCTTGCTTCATATCAATCTCAATGGGTTATTTCATCCCAACAAGATTTTTTTTTTTGCTGGTATTTTTTTTTTTTTTGGAAAAATGTATTGCTGGTAATATTTTACCATCAAAAATTTATTGCTGGAAATATTCTTTTTTTTTTGTTACAAAGTAGTCTTAATATTAAAACCTATTTTTACTTTCATAGTGTTTTGACCCCAGTTTGGGGGTCTATTATTTACCCCGAGATGGGACCCTTACAGGTGCTGCCACCCTGAGTCCAGGTCAACCTAGGAACACCAGCAATTAAGAGGTGGTACCACGATCCTCAAAACCTTCTGATCAGAGGCCTTGCTGTTGGATGTAGATTATCGTCTTACCCAGGATGCAGATGTAGTTTATCGTGGTACCCAGGACGCTTGAAGTAGGATCGTCATCGCCGATCTGAGAAAGCAGTGATACACAGCTTAGAAATTTCTGAACGTGTTTTGCGGTAAGAATGACTTCCATATTGAATTTTCAATCTGTCGGGGTTATTAAATGAATGATTTTAGGTTAATGTTTTGGTTTTGTAGAATTTTGCAGTGTTGGGAGAAACTGCCTCAAGTACAATCTAATCTATGTTCAATTTTCTTATTGTCTGTAATAACCGAACCTCACATATATACACGTGGTATTTGAAGTGTTTAGTAGTTATTAATTCCATATAAGTTAAGTTTTGAGACGGATTCAAAGTATGCGCCATTATTGTTGTCATTCAGAAAAGGTGTTGCTTAAAAACAAAAGAAAGTTAGAGTTTGTCTATGTCTATATTTTTGGTCTATATTTCTGAGATGAGGTATTATGTACATTATTTACATTATTCGAACCATTGTCCTCATCTTTGTCGCCAAATTTATCACAACGAAAGGAGAGGTAGGCCGCCCCCTCAAGATAAGGCTTCAAGAACACCAGAAACCTGTAACGCGAGAGGAAGTAGAAAAATCAGGCGTGGCAGATCACATATGGAGAGAGAAGGAAGATCACCGCCCTCTGTGGGATCATGTTGAGATCATAGACAAGGAACACCATTGGAAAGTTCGTAAACTTAAGGAATCAGCACATATGCTAGGCCACAAAAATCTCCTGAGCCGACCAAGCATTGATATAAATACAATATGGGAACCAGTAATAAGGAGTGCCAAAGAAAAGCAATGATAACAAAGTTGCAATATGAGCTCTGGTAAAAACATGTAATGATAAAAGCAAAATTTAATATGAGCCCTGGTAAAAATGGTTGCTGAAGACATTAGGTTTATAATACCCAGAAATTCATACCCAGATATCCTCAAGGCACAGTGGATAAAAACGTTGGTTAGATCCAGTAACAGGACCCAAAGAGTGTGAGTTCAATACCCGGTTAAGGCAGTGGAGAACTTTCAGAGGTAAATTAACAGGAGATAACTGATCAATGACATCCATCAAACATGGCACGTGGAACTAGAACAGTCTACCCCAGTGAGCGAAATAAAGGGTTCAGTTCGAAATTCCAACCTCCTGAAGATGGCCGAAACGTTGTGATAAATATGGCGACAAAGATGAGGACAATAGTCCGAATAATGTAAATAATAAAAGAAAGTTATTTGTTAAAGACTTTTGTTACTTGTTTGTATGAATTATAATGATTTTCCCCGTTTCCAGCAAAATGTCTGCGTATTTCAGGCTTTAACTGTTATCAAAGGGATTTTGCTTGTTTTTTTTTGTTTTTGTTTATTTTTTTATTTGTTTTTTTTTTTTGTGTCAGATGTATGTATTTTCAAATGCCTCGTCTTCTAACTCCATGCACGATTTTTAAATTATCGCCTTATTTCGTTGTTCTCTAATCACTCTTCTAAAATATATAATATTCCACTCAAGATGCAAAATAAAAGACAAGACTCCACTGCTGCCAGAGTAGAATGGTTCTTTGAGAAGCAGTAGAAAAATCAATAAGACTAGGCGATAACATTTTTCACTGGAATTCTGCCATCATCAGCACTTTGCCATCTACTGGTATATGTACTGCCTGGAAGCATCAGAGAAATTACACATAAGAAATATATATATATATATATATATATATATATATATATATATATATATATATATATATATATATATTTTTATATATATATATATATATATATATATATATATATATATATATATATATATATATATATATATATATATATATATATATATGTATGTATATGATTTCGCTCAGTAAGCTCTGGTTGTAATAGAACAGCGCCCAGTGTCTAATAACAGGGTTAAAATTTATACTATTAATAAACATACATATTTTTGTTACTTACCAGTAGCACAACGCTGAGTGTTACTTAATGCAATTTTCAGCTGAGGATTGAAAACCGTTTTGCTAGCTACCAGAAATAAAATTCTAAATGCATGGTGTCCAAAGATAATGTATACACTCTTTAAATATTAATAGTAAATAATATATTACCGAGATGTGAGAACTTATATGGATGCAAAACAGATGGATTGGAAGAAAAGGAACAGTTGAATACTCACCTAGATCACCAGATTTGACACCCTTGGATTTCTTTTTGTGGGGGTTTCTAAAAGACAAAGTTTTCAGCAGGAAACCTGAAACAATTGCTGAAATGAGAGTAGAAATTGAAGAAGAATGTGCTCAAATACCAGAGGAAATGATACTGGACGTTTGTAGGTCTATTTGTTCAAGATATCAAAAGTATATTGAACAGAATGGCAACCAGTTTGAGGACTTGATGTGAACGCTTCATTATATGAACATTCTACCATTGCCCCAAGTAGATGTTTTCGTATTAAAGTTAATTTTCCTATGTTTTTGTATATTTTATTCTCAAATTCTTTAAATGTGTATTCGTTCTCTTGTATTAATCTTATTTACAAGTCAAAATACAGAAAATGAATGAGTTGTAACAATTCAAAGAGTGTATACATTATTTTGGGACAACCTGTATATAAAGTAATCCGTTGGTAGAATTTGAAATATTTTAGAATTGACTCACAAAGTCCGTTCAGTGTTTATTTTCATTAAACAAAGCAAAAAATTCTCTTAAAGGTATCTTAATTTTAATTATAAAGAGAGTATATATTTATATATATATATATATATATATATATATATATGAATGTACGTGCAAGTGTTCACATAGAAATATCTATCTATCTATCTATCTATCTATCTATCTATCTATATATATATATATATATATATATATATATATATATATATATATATATATATTGTAATTTTAACAGATCCGTTGGTGTATAATCAAGGTGGATTAATATGAAATATTAAAACTGATCCACGAAAAATTCAATATATCTATGATTACAGAGCAATATAAATAATAAACAATAAAATCCAAAATAATTTCATATGGGGAATAGCCTAGTTCTGCAGACGAAAATAGCGGTCGTCTGTCTTTATACTATACAGATAGTATATAGATAAAAGGATGTAAGGGATTAATGTTGAATCAGAGAAATGAATTAGTGTTAAAATGTCGGCATAAAAACAAATTCAAATTTCCATAATATAGGTTTAACTTAATTAGCTACCATATTTCCATAATATTCACTTCCCTCTAACACTTCAAATGTCGACATCAGAAGTAATTCTAATTTCTATATTTTATTTTACTCCTCTATAAACTCTTTCCCCTATATTTATAATCTTCCCAACTCTCTTTCAATTAATTCATTACGTCCTTTTATCTATATGTTTTAAATTTATTTTTAGATCCTTTTTGAATTAATACTTCATTTTTCATATAAACCTAAATTAATGTCAACGGTTAATATTCGGGTTTAATTTTATAAAACCTCTTCACTTTACGACAAGTAATTTCCACCCACCTCTGATCCCTGTCTCGTGCCTTTCGTCTGACTGAAACATTGAATTGGATAAGTTTTTTGACAAGTTGATTTTTCAGATTTCATAGTTAAATTCTACTCCCTGTCCCCCGCTCCCGATCTGCATAGACACGAACTGAGTTTGCACCGGGAATTTACGTCACGTTGGTGAGATAATGGCTGAAGCCGAGGTGTCAGGTGAGGTCGCTTACTGCAGCCTCCACTTCATGTCAGCGTAAAACGTGAGCCCAAAAAGACACAAAGAATTGCTCTCCTGACAGACAAAAAAAATGTTTCCTATGGTGATTAAATTAAAATAGTTTTGTTTTGGGGGAGTTTAAATCTATAAGACATTAGTTAACCCAATTAATCATTGAGTGGTCCTTTTCGCGAGAAGCTTCCAGGAAAGTAAACAGAAAAAACAATAATAATAGTTTAAAAAAAAAGCGGTTATATTAATATACGTGATTCATTGAACCAGAACCTCTCCAAGATTGGGCAAAACGGAAATTATAATAAATGGATCGATTTACGGATAGAAATCACAGACAGAGGTCATCATATGAATGATAAGACAGACAGATGTTATGTAGACCTATGGCCATATCAATTTGAAACACCTGTTCTCATACAATCGTCGAACTTAAGTAACGATGATCCTGGCCAGTACTTAGATAGGTGACCTCTTCGGAATACCAAGTGCTGTAAGGTTGGATGTGCGGATGGAGTAATAGGTAACGGCTCAGAATTATAAATCAGAGAGACGAGTCCCAGTTCAAGCCAGGCTCATTACATTCCCGTAAGCGTAAATAATCTTGGGATCCTCTTCTCACCACCGTCTATGGCTTAATTAGCAGGATGTCATCAGTAGATGATCGTTATCTCCACAAAATAATTGCAATTTAAATATATTATCTGGATTCAAATAACCGGCAAAAGGTTGATAAAACGTAAAAAATAACCCAATTATATAAAAATCAGACTATGGTAAAAGGTAAAGGCATGAATAGAGGGATTTCTTAATATCGATGACTTTGCTCATCAAGCCAAAGTGACCTTAGCAAAATATGTGCAATAGAAAATTTAAAACTATCACGGATTAAAAGATTAAAACCAGGGATAAAAGGATAATCAGCAAACAGAGGAAGAAAGAGAATAATCTAATGAAAAATAGTAGACAAATACCCATTGTTTTATTTGCGCAAAGGTGTTGTATTGTAATCACTTGACCCCTTCCAAGAAAATAAATGCAGGAGATTACTAAGGGTGAACGAACATGAGAAAAGGAAAACATTATGAAGGAGCGAGTATAATAAACGAACGGAGACTAAGAAGACAGAAGATAATGATTGGCATTGGATTTAAATTATTGAGGATCAAACTTAACTAGAATGCAAGAACCCGGAAAAGAATAATGTGGCACATGGGAACATCAACAATTCCTTTTATAGTTGGAGCCCTCGGTTTGGTTGGAAAAGATTCCAGTAGACTAATTGAGGGGATTTCTGGAAGTTCATGTCTTAAAGAATTATAAAAAAATTGTTTTTACGAGTACAACCCACACCTTACGAAAGGCTTTATCTATGTAAAATATGTTTGAGTTTTATATTTTTTATTTTTATTTTTTTTTTATTTTTTATGGTCAGCGGAAAATGTCAGGACGCCATTTCTAACCTTGGTCATTGGGCGGGACCCGGAAAGAATTGTGTACACACAAGAAATCAAAGGATATATAACAATAATAATAATAATAATAATAATAATAATAATAATAATGAGGGTGATGTGGCAGAGAATAAGAAGAATAAGCAAAAGCAAAAAGACATTAGTCGCAATTCAAAAACAATATTAGTAATAATAATAATATTAAGGAGGGTGAAGTGCCAGAGAGGAAGAAATAGAAGGAACAAGACAACATCATCATCAATAGTAATAATAATAATAATAATAATAAGGGGGGAGTAGCAGAGATGTTTAAGTAGCAGAAAGAAGAGAACATCAGTAGCAATAATAATAATAATAATAATAATAATAATAATAATAATAATAATAATAATAAAATGAGTTTGAAGTGTCTTGTTTGCCAGAGAAATAGACGAACAGAGTATCAGCGGCAGCAGCAGAAACAACGACGACGACGGTGATGATGATGATGATGATGATGATGATGATGATGATGATGTAATCAACAGGCTGGTAAAGAAAATTGAAAAGAAAACGCATCTGTAACCATAGAAACTGATAGCTTTGCATGAAGAAACAATGAGAATTTATTTCCTGTCAAATGAAAAAAAAAAATACTTGCTTATATTTCAGAGCGTAAAATTCCACGTCTGTGGACAAGAATGAGGAAAATATTGGACTATTAAAAAAAAACGAAATTACCGCTCATCTTCGATTCTTTAGTTTTTGAGATTATTTCACAATTTTTTCGTATTAAATTCCGATATTTGCTGTCGCTATTGCACAGTATTGATCTGAGACGAAAGTAAACACTAAAATTAGAATAAAAAAAGATACAGTCGTCCAGTGGCTGACAACTGACGCCACTTGATAATCTTTTTCTTTTTTTTTTTTTTTCGAAAAATATATTCGATTTCTACGTAGGTGAAACAATACCTTTATTGATGAATTTTATAATCGATAGCTAAATATCTGCAATATATATAATAATGTATTTGAACATTACTTAAACTGTAGCAAGGCGTCTGCTGTAGAGCGATCTTTTAGAAGTTAATTTCCCAGGCTCTACTTCGTTCGTGTATCCTGCCATAGAAAACAAATATGCAAAACGTTTAAAAGATGAAACTAAAGATGGAAACCTGCAATAAACAAAAATACGGAAAGGCATAAAATATCAAATTTAATTGTTAATTTTAAACCCCCCTACCCCGAAACTAAAATTCTCTTCATTAATAATCTGAGAGATGCTTTTCTACCTTCGATCAGTATGGCTGATGCTAACCTCTTGGAACGTGACCCGTTGCGCTTTCTCGAGCGAACGTTCTCAGCTGACAGGAGGTGGAAAAACTATATTGAATCTATTGCAACGTTAGCTGTTAAGAAAGTGTATCTTGCGAGGCAATTTTTCCCTCCAGAATCTATCTTACATATCTATAAGTCTACCAGTCGCCCATTCTTAGAATATGACTGTTACATACTTTCGAGAGATCCTGTTATTTTCCTTGGCCTCTTTGATAAATTCCAAAGTGGCTTTATTGTTTTTTCTTCGTGGCTTTACTGCTTTGCATGAGTTGATACCAATTAAGACACTCTTAAATGGCAGTCGAATTGGTAAAGATGAACAAGAACACAGTAGCAGAACCAGATGGAATTGCAATGGATAGGTTTGCATTGACAATATATGAAAATAACAGATAAAATATCCTAGTGTTGACATATCGGAAGACTTTAGTTAATCTATTTTCATGCTGCCCAAAAAGTCAGATGTAAATTCCATCGAGCTCCATCGGACAATCAACCTAAATAAGCCACAAAGTCAGTCAGTCTGTTGCATTCTATGCGTGATACATGCTTAGGCGATCTTTTAATAATATGATTGACGAGCCAGTTTTTTTCCAGCAGTAGGTTACCATTTCTTTCTGCGGTAGACCAGGTTGTTGTGGAGTGATTTCACAGTGAGGCTTGTATTTGTACTAAGTCGGTCCTAAAATAGGTTCGACGTACAAAACGTTAGGAACTTGATATAATAGGTAATGACGCAGAGTAATCTAGTTGTGGTCGCTGATACTTTAATATCCGACTAACGGTCGTCCGGCATCGACTGACTGACGATATTCAGTCAACCCCCACGAGGGCGTCATGTGACACAAGGACGGTTTAACGTGGGATCTCCGAGCCCGTGGGCTCAGCCAAAAATATGCCCAGTAAACCCGTATAAATGGGTTCAGGGTCGGTTTGCATCCCTGAAAGAGAATCCGACCTTCGGCGTAGCCTCCTTCGGGTTCCTCCCCGCCCGAAGGCAGAGAGTTCAACCGATCAGCCAGTCGACTGACTGACGATATTCAGTCACCCTTCAACGAGGGTGTCATGTGGCACAAGGCCTTTTTAACGTGGGATTTCCGAGCCCGTGGGCTCGACTGACCGACCTGTTACTCTTACTACTCCTACTTATTATAGGTGGGAGAGTCTTTATTACTGTAGAATAGGTGTGTTCCACTATAACACAGGTGCCATCCGAGACAATAGAACCCGGTCTGTTCTGCTATTTACCTATAGCTGGAGGGAGAAGAAGAGGATACCTTTTGCAAGGGTATTAGAACGTAAATGAATGTAATGGATTCGACGGGAATTTGAACTCGGCTTTCTGATTCTTCAATCCGAGCCGTTACTACACCGTGTCTCCTAATAAGCCCCAAAACAATATCATTTAGCTAAAGACACTGGAACAAGGAATGCAACATTTATGCTCAGAATCATATCAAAATCAGGGGGAAAAATGCAAAATGGCGTATACCTATCTTTTATAGATTATGATCATGTACTTTATAAGGTACGATGAAAAGAACAGTTTGAATTTCTAGGAGAAAAAGACAGAACAATCCAGAATTTATACTGGGAACAAACTAATTTGGTAGGTATACAGAAGTAGAAAGGAGAGTAAGACAAGCATATGCCATCTGAAGTTGATCTTGTTAGAGCTACAATACCTATCAGGATTTATTTGGGGCCGCCACAATTTTAACAAAATAAGTTATGCACATGACAAAATTTTGATAACAGACACATAAAGAAAATTGCAGGAACTTCTGGAATATATAGTAAAGAAAAGATTAACTCAAAATTGTAAAAAGAAACAATGTAATGTTATCTACAAGAGCAACAGCTAGGAATTATGTGTACTCTAAAAATTTGCCGCAACAAAACACCCCATGTAACTAACGAAAGTTTTAAGAAGTTGATCTCGCATACCACTGAGAATAAATTTCCTCAATTATTCGTAGTTCGAATATTGGGGTTTTTCTCTTGCAGACAGCCATATATCCTGCTTTCTATTAGTCTTGCTTTAGTCGCTTCTTCTCGTTTTCATTTCCTTGTTTAGCAGTTCGTGTTGTTTTTCCTTCTGTCGAAGTAAGCCTAACTTTCTATTTCGTATTCTCTTTAGAATGTCCTAGATGCACTCGTGTCATAACCATCGTATATCTCAGCATTCCTCTGTAGAACAGCATTATCAATTAAGACTTTTCCCCCAGCTTCCATTGCTATACAGGAAAAGAAATATGTAAACCTTTTCTTGGTTTCCAACGAAATGTTCCTATTTTTTGAAAATACATAGTGAACTTCCAACCGTTTGTTCCTTGGTTGTTTTTGTTTAGCCAACCTGTATGGACTTTTTAATACCGAAATGTGAATAAGAAAATTCAAACTATAATTATTTAGCTGCATTTTCTTTTACGAAATCATCTTAGGAAATCAAACTAGGAGAGAAACCATTTTTTCCTTATGAGACATGAAGTTAATCATAACAAATTGTTTTTGTTTTGTTTTTTCGTTTTTTTTTTGTTTTTTTTTTTTGACAATGTATGCCACTTCTTCAATTTTAATATAAAATGTACATATTGTGGTTTTACCACAAAAATATATTGTTGTTACCTTTTTAAAACAGTTTTTTATAAATGTTTTGCTCGTATTTTTACTATAAGAAGTACTTTTTTATATTTTCCTAGGTAATTTTATATTGTTGGTAAT